CCTTGGCTGACCCCCCTCCCCCCATCCAGTGCGTACGTACTTATTGAATGATCCCCATAATACTCTTATATCTTAAAGGATTATGAAATGACATTATATTAAACACTAAATCAATAATCCGTTAATCTATTGATCATTGAAATCAATACAAAAACATATATTAATAAATATGATTAAAAATTTGAACCGAATTCTTACAGTTAATATAGAAATAACATATATAAATATTTTGTAATAAATTTTATAATTACCTGTATTTGTTTGATTTGTGGACTTTTAATAACTTTATTAATTGTATTCATTTTTTGCAAATTTCAATTCAAACGTAAAATTATTAAATTGAAATCCGTTTCACACAAAATGTGTTGAAATATGAAATCCTTCCTTTGAATTAGTTTATGAATACATGTATTATTAAAACCATATTTACTGTCATAAAAATACTAAATTTTATTAAACAGATTATTTGAATGATTATATAATACACTGTTGATAATTACTTGACATAAAAAACATTTAAAATCTTATCATTTGTTTCGAAAATGTTTGCATTTATTTTGTTATGTTTAAAATATAAGTAATACCAGTAATGTAATATACACTCAAAAATATAATTAAAATTAAAAAAACGGTTAAAATATCAAAGGTTTTCAATATGACAGACTTTAGGTATTTTTAATAATTATTTACAAAAAGGCCTTGAGTACCTTTTTGAAGTTAACACCTCGTTCTAGCTTTATTTACAATTTTATAACATTTTAGTTATAATATTTACATTTACATAAGTCTGTTTTAGCATTATTTTGTAAATTCAATTTTATATGTTAATTAAAACATTCTATATGTTTATTAATAGTAAGTTATATTATATTAAATAATTATTAAAACTAATTTATTGCAGAAACATATTTAATAAAGTATTTTTACTAAGCAACTCTTATACAGTAAAATCTTAATAAAAGTTAAATATTGTATACACTGTATACTATACAGTGTATACAGTACTATACAGATATTAAAATCGAAATGAATTTATATGGGAAACTTTTGACATTACAGAAATAAAAATGATATCACAAATTATGTGAGCTAGCAAAATAATAATTAACAATATACTTATTTAATAAAGTACAGTATTAATAAATGTGTCTCACTAAAAAGTTAATAATTATTCGGCAATCAATTGATTTTGACGAATTTAAAAGTATTAAATGGTTTTCAAATACAAATTAATCTTTTTATTTATTTATTAGTTCTAATAATCCAGTACAATTTGGGTCCATATAATTAGGGTGCAAGTATAATAAGGGTGAAATAATTTTAATATGTTAATTGGTCCAACTGATCAGTTTATACTGAATTAGTGTTTTATAATGATATAAATAAACTTTATTCAATAATCTGTGTGTATTCCACACTTGGTTATACCTTGCACAAAATAGCCTTCAAGACATATCTGGATTTCTACATTCAAAATGATTTAATCAGTGAATTGAAGGATGAATTATAGCATATTTTGCCAAAAACTTAATTTAAAAATAACGACAAAATTATGTGATCAATGGTTTATGTATTGAATTGATTGGAATCGCAAATCATTGGTTTGAGTCGTGATATCGTTATTTTAACGGTTAATACATGTTATCTATTTTGTTCAGAAATCAATTGATTAGTGCATTATAAGTACAAATGTATGACTTTTTGACGTATTTATAATTTGAAAACTTTATAAAACTTTTAGTTTGAACTATTAGATTATTATATTGTAAGAGTTTTGTGAAAAAAGGTGATCAACAATATGGTGAAGGCCTGGTATATCAATGATGAGGAATTGGTCACCGATGAAAGAGCTAAGAGAAGTGAACGCCATCTCAATCCTCCACAATATCTCAGTTTAGATGACTTGAGACATAGAACTGGTGTTAAATATGAACAGGTATACTATATATCAATTTAATTCATATTATAATATTAATAAATTAATTAAATCACTAATAATTTCGAGATAAATTAGATGAAAAATTACAAATTTATTTTAATTGTACTGAACTTCAGGTTAGTGTTGATAACTACGAAACGGAGGACAGTTTGCAAGAGATCTGCACTCACAAGGGATACTCGTATTCAGATGTGCTGGACATACATCCCCAGCGACTGGAAAACTATAGCCAGAAGTTAGAAGCCTTCTATACAGAGCACATGCATCCCGACGAAGAGGTACGGCTGGTGCTGAAAGGGTCGGCATATTTTGATCTCAGAGATGTGGACAACAATTGGATACGTATTGGGGTGGAGAAGGGAGATATGTTGATATTGCCCGGGGGCAGTTATCATAGATTCACATTGGATTTAAATGGATACATAAAGCTGTTCCGACTGTTTGGCTCCAAACCCGACTGGTCCTCATTCAATAGGCCGGCCGATAGCCATCCCGCCCGCATCGCATACGTCGAGAAGGCTATTATGGGTTTTTAAGAGCATAACTGTCCACTTGTTTAGTGGTTACTAATTATGAGCTTGGTTTTGGTTTCCAAGAATTTTTTGGCTAAATATTTAGATTAATTTTAATAAATATTTTCAGATAATAAAATAAATTATAACTAATGATTGCATATTCTTTAGTCAAATATATATAATTTTATTACAAATTAGATGATCCGGTTCTATAAAAATAGATATTATTATTATATGTTTTTTAAAATGTCATTTTATGTCGGTTATTAACCAAAAATATACCAAATAAAACAAATAATATTTAAATAAACATGTCAAGTTTATTTTTTAAAATAAAGTTATTTGTGGCAAATTGCTAAAATTACTATTGGGTAAAAAGTTGAAAACTTTTCAAAATGATACAGTGCATATTATCCGAATATTAACTTGAGATTTATATGTTTGTCGTTAACTTATACAGAAACCTTTATGTCAATTTGACAAATGTTTACTCAAACATTTAAATGACATTTATTAATTTCAAATAAATTATTTTAAAAATTATATTTTGTTTAGAATTTCTACAGTAGTTTCATGTATTCATATAATATAATAATAATACATTTGTCCGATAGATAACACAGTAAGCAATGAAATCATTAACTTTTTTTGCAGTGGTTGTGAACATAAAATCAATTTATTATATGAAGTATCGATTGCAGTAAATTGTAATTTAATTTTTAGTTATTTAATAAAAAATATTTCACATTTTTAATACATTTACTATTCAAAGTTTGTGCATAAACTAATTTTTATATTAATTATTTCTTATATTCATTAATCATTTACTATTACTAGTAATTAGCAAGACACTTAACTATTATACAAAATTACGAAATACTTCTTTAAGTATATAACTATATTTTGGTTTGTTTTTGTATTATGTAATATTATTCAGGATAAATGCCAAAAAGTCTAGTAAAAATGTGAACTGTATCCAATTTATACTATCGAGAATATGTTTGTATCATTATCATAGCTCTAGAAATATTTTTTATAGTCTATTTAAATTACCCTGCCACTGAACTTATTAATCTACCAAATTAACTGTGACATGCAACCATATATATTTAATTTTAAATTCAAAACTTTAGGGATAACAGTAAAAACATTATTTTTAGTATGTTTTGATTGGAACCAAAAATAAAAGTGAAATCTTGTGACTACTAGTGTTAATATATACGTGACATGCGGTACACAGAATACACAGAATATAGAGACGATTGTATTATTTTCACAAATTTTGTGTTTGAGTTTCAAAGTTGTTCACTCAAAATGAAAACTATAAATAGACTCAATAGACGCAATGAAAAGTTTAGGAAAAAATGTTCAGTTTTGGTTAGTTTTAGAGTATATTTATTTCCAATTCAAGAAACTAATGGTGTATTTATAAACACGAAACACACGAATCAGAGGAATGGGAGGGAAGTTAGTGTTATAGTAATCACGAGTTAAGTGTTTGGCAAAAAAATCGGGAAAAAGGGGTATAGTATATGTGATTATAATCAGTTAAATTTATATGTAAGTGACTTTAACTCTAACTTTAAGTGAATTTATTTTGTAAAATAACTAAATAGTGCACAAAAACCCCACTAAAATTAGCTGATATTTAAATTGTGCAACATTATTTGTACTCAATCAAGTACTTCATAAAGTTTGTACATCATATTTGTTGAATAAATTTATCATCTCTGTTATATAAAATTGCAAATATTTACCGGTATGTATAGTATTTGTAAATATCTAACTTATTGTCCACAAATTGTATAGAATTGTGCATTTTTTGTATGGTTAGCAACAGACAGCCAATGCAATTAACCATTTGCTTATCAGTCTATTTAATACCAGTGATAAGAGTATTTGTAAAGTTTGTTATACTCTCTTATATGAGCTCTCTCTCTCTCTCTCTCTCTCTCTCTCTCTCTCTCCCTCCCTCTCGTAATGTGGAAAACTTTGTTTAGAATTATTTTAATCAATTAGATTGCCCTATGTGATATATCGGTTTGTGTAGTCCGTGAAAAGTACATGTAAATGTTCATACCGTAGTTTAGGCACATTTAATCAGTAATTTTGAACAAAAACTAATTTTATACTTAACTTCATTTACTTTATAATAATAACAATGATTACAGAACTTATAATTTCTTAACCAATAACTTCTTATACCCAATTTATGTATTGTATATTAAATAGCTAATATTGTGCATTGTCAAGTAATTTACTTAAAGATTTTATAACAGAGTGTATTCGTGTAACACCATTAGGACTTATTATTCACAAGGTAAATTAACATGCTCTAATTTTGGTGCTAGAGTTCTTAACTTTAGTGCATTGTGCATTGCACAATATGCAAACTAAAAGCAAACTTAGTGCTTTTAGACTAAAGTTAGTTTTAAATATTATAATTTATAATCTAAATACAGTATATATAAGAATTGATTTTTTATAAACAATCTTAGCCAACCTTACAAATATACACATAAAAAGTGCAGTCAGAAATTTACCACTTACCAATTGGAAAAAGGTTGGTTAACACTGTTTTAAAACTATTTAATATTAAATCTAATATTTGCCACATTATGAATGACAATTCTTATCTAATATCTGTGTAATAACTTTTTAATTGGCTTTAATTTAATTTTGAACTCATAGGCCTTATCAATAAAAAGTGTAATTCATTTTTTGCTGCTTTTTGCATTGATTATTTTAGTAAACAACACATGTATTACATATAATTTTGAATTTTCAAAAGTTCTGCTTTACTTCATAAGTTTTATAAAAATTATTTGTTTTTATAATTTAAGATATTAAATGTCTTATTTTGAACAAAATTCATATGAAATAAGCAGTTGTTTGTGTTTTCTGTATATAATACAAACAATGATTATTAATAATCACTTCAGAAATAGTAATAACAAGATACAACTATAATTAATTAACGATAGAAATCTTAAGTGCAAAATAAGTGCATTTTTAAGTATTCACTAATTAACAATGGTTTGTATCATAAATCAGTGGGATATTCAAGTTAGTCCACTAGGGAGGGGTGAGTGAGCCTTCACATTTTAATAATAAAATTGCTAAATTTTCTTATAAATAATGCACTTCTATAATAAATTACAAATTACTCAGGATAATTCAGTAAAAATATTTCAGTTAAAACTGGTGTCAAAATTAATGCAATTAATTTATTATGCATTTATTGTGAGTAATACCCTGATGCTCCCTATATTTAAATGTATTATTTTATAATTAGGTAATGTAAAAAAATTATAAGTATTCATTTCCATGAGTCGAGTAAATGTTTAAATGTTGCAAATTTAGAAAAATATTATTAAATTCATTTTAAGTGTATATAAAAAAGCATTTTTTCATTGAAATATTCGCTAGACTTCAAGGCTATCTAATACTTTATTCCTACAAAACATTTAATTGATTGTTATTTCCTAACAAACAATTAGAGAGAAAACACATGATGTTTGTGTTTATAGTATAATATTCATAATATAAGTTAATTATTTGCACAGATATTATTAAATCACTATTAAAATTGCTATGTATTGGTCCGATTTAGACATCAATGAGACAACTGTTTAAATAGTGTTTTTAATTATGNCGATTTTTTTGCCAAACACTTAACTCGTGATTACTATAACACTAACTTCCCTCCCATTCCTCTGATTCGTGTGTTTCGTGTTTATAAATACACCATTAGTTTCTTGAATTGGAAATAAATATACTCTTAAACTCACCAAAACTCAACATTTTTTCCTAAACTTTTCATTGCGTCTATTGAATCTATTTATAGTTTTCATTTTGAGTGAACAACTTTGAAACTCAAACACAAAATTTGTGAAAATAATACAATCGTCTCTATATTCTGTGTATTCTGTGTACGGTATGTCACGTATATATTAACACTAGTAGTCACAAGATTTGACTTTTATTTTTGGTTCCAATCAAAACATACTAAAAATAATGTTTTTACTGTTATCCTTAAAGTTTTGAATTTAAAATTAAATATATATGGTTGCATGTCACAGTTAATTTGGTAGATTAATAAGTTCAGTGGCAGGGTAGTTTAAATAGACTATAAAAAATAATTCTAGAGCTACCAAATGATACAAACATATTCTCGATAGTATAAATTGGATACAGTTCACATTTTTACTAGACTTTTTGGCATTTATCCTGAATAATATTACATAATACAAAAACAAACCAAAATATAGTTATATACTTAAAGAAGTATTTCGTAATTTTGTATAATAGTTAAGTGTCTTGCTAATTACTAGTAATAGTAAATGATTAATGAATATAAGAAATAATTAATATAAAAATTAGTTTATGCACAAACTTTGAATAGTAAATGTATTAAAAATGTGAAATATTTTTTATTAACTAAAATTAAATTACAATTTACTGCAATCGATATTTCATATAATAAATTGATTCTATGTTCACAACCACTGCAAAAAAAAGTTAATGATTACATTGCTTACTGTGTTATCTATCGGACAAATGTATTATTATTATATGAATACATGAAACTACTGTAGAAATTCTAATGAAAGAGAATTTTTAAAATAATTTATTTGAAATTAATAAATGTCATTTAAATGTTTGAGTAAACATTTGCCAAATTGACATAAAGGTTTTTTGTATAAGTTCTGTACAAACGACAAACATATAAATCTCAAGTTAATATTCGGATAATATGCACTGTATCATTTTGAAAAGTTTTCAACTTTTTACCCAATAGTAATTTTAGCAATTTGCCACAAATAACTTTATTTTAAAAAATAAACTTGACATGTTTATTTAAATATTATTTGTTTTATTTGGCTTATTTTTGGTTAATAACCGACAAAAATTGAAATTTTAAAAAACATATAATAATATCTATTTTATAGAACCGGATATAATCTAATTTGTAATAAAATTATATATATTTGACTAAAGAATATGCAATCATTAGATATAATTTATTTTATTATCTGAAAATATTTATTAAAATTAATCCAAATATTTAGCCAAAAAATTCTTGGAAACCAAAACCAAATTCATAATTAGTAACCACTAAACAAGTGGACAGTTATGCTCTTAGAAACCCATAATAGCCTTCTCGACGTATGCGATGCGGGCGGGATGGCTATCGGCCGGCCTATTGAATGAGGACCAGTCGGGTTTGGAGCCGAACAGTCGGAACAACTTTATGTATCCATTCAAATCCAATGTGAATCTATGATAACTGCCCCCGGGCAATATCAACATATCTCCCTTCTCCACCCCAATACGTATCCAATTGTTGTCCACATCTCTGAGATCAAAATATGCCGACCCTTTCAGCACCAGCCGTACCTCTTCGTCGGGATGCATATGCTCTGTATAGAAGGCTTCCAACTTCTGGCTATAGTTTTCCAGTCGCTGGGGATGTATGTCCAGCACATCTGAATACGAGTATCCCTTCTGAGTGCATATCTCTTGCAAACTGTCCTCCGTTTCGTAGTTATCAACACTAACCTGAAGTTCATTACAATTAAAATAAATTTCTAATTTTTCATCTCATTTATTTCAAAATTATTAGTGATTTAATTAATTTATTAATATTATAATATGAATAAAATTGATATATAGTATACCCGTTCATATTGAACACCAGTTCTATGTCTCAAGTCATCTAAACTGAGATATTGTGGAGGATTGAGATGGCGTTCACTTCTCTTAGCTCTTTCATCGGTGACCAGTTCCTCATCATTGATATACCAGGCCTTCACCATATTGTTGATCAGTTTTTTTAACACAAACTTTTACAATATTATAATCTAATAGTTAAAACTAAAAGTTTTATAAAGTTTTAAAATTATAAAAACGTCAAAAAGTCTTTATATACAAATACTAATAATGCACTAATCAATTGATTTCTGAACAAAATTGATAGCATGTATTAACCGTTAAAATAACGATATCACGACTCAAACCAATGATTTGCGATTCCAATCAATTCAATACATAAACCATTTATCACATAATTTTTTCGTTATTTTTAAATTAAGTTTTTGGCAAATTATGCTATAATTCATCCTTCAATTCACTGATTAAATCATTTTGAATGTAGAAATCCAGATATGTCTTGAAGGCTATTTTGTGCAAGGTATAACCAAGTGTGGAATACACACAGATTATTGAATAAAGTTTATTTATATCATTATAAAANAAAACACTAATTCAGTATAAACTGATCAGTTGGACCAATTAACATATTAAAATTATTTCACCCTTATTATACTTGCACCCTAATTATATGGACCCAAATTGTACTGGATTATTAGAACTAATAAATACATAAAAAGATTAATTTGTATTTGAAAACCATTTAATACTTTTAAGTTCGTCAAAATCAATTGATTGCCGAATAATTATTAACTTTTTAATTAATACTGTACTTTATTAAATAGGTATATTGTTAATTATTATTTTGCTAGCTCACACAATTTGTGACATGATTTTTATTTCTGTAATGTCAAAAGTTTCCCATATAAATTCATTTCAATTTTAATATCTGTATAGTATACGGTGTATACAATATTTAACTGTTATTAAGATCTTACTGTATAAGAGTCGCTTAGTAAAAATACTTTATTAAATATGTTTCTCCAGTAAATTAGTTTTAATAATTATTTAATATACTATAATTTACTATTAATAAACATATAGAATGTTTTAATTTACATATAAAATTGAATTTCCAAAATAATGCTAAAACAGACTTACGTAAATGTAAATAACTTTATTATAACTAAAATGTTATAAAATTGTAAATAAAGCGAGAACGAGGTGTGAATTAAAAAAAGGTACTCAAGGCCTTTTGTAAATAATTATTAAAAATACCTAAAGTCTGTCATATTGAAAACCTTTGGTATTTTAACCGTTTTTAAAATTTTAATTATATTTTTGAGTGTATATTACATTACTGGTATTACTTATATTTTAAACATAACAAAATAAATGCAAACATTTTCGAAACAAATGATAAGATTTTAAATGTTTTTATGTCAAGTAATTATCAACAGTGTATTATATAATCATTTTAATAATCAGTTTAATAAAAATTAGTATTTTTTATGACAGTAAATATGGTTTTAATAATACATGTATTCATAAACTAATTCAAAGGAAGGATTTCATATTTCAACACATTTTGTGTGAAACGGATTTCAATTTAATAATAAATTTACGTTTGAATTGAAATTTGCAAAAAATGAATACAATTAATAAAGTTATTAAAAGTCCACAAATCAAACAAATACAGGTAATTAAAAAATTTATTACAAAATATTTATACATGTTATATCTATATTAACTGTAAGAATTCGGTTCAAATTTTTAATCATATTTATTAATATATGTTTTTGTATTGATTTCAATGATCAATAGATTAACGGATTATTGATTTAGTGTTTATTATAATGTCATTTCATAATCCTTTAAGATATAAGAGTATTATGTGTGCAATACTGGAATTATCACATCATTTAAATAACATTAATTAGATATGAATTGTATTTATAAGTATAAAATATGTAGCACAGGTATTTATAAATTACATAAAGTACAAGTATATTGTACTTATTATTATGAAATGCTATTGATATTTTTATTGATTAAATGTAAACTCTATTCATATGATATAAAGTCCAATATGAACTTAATGTATTATATAAGCTATATGCTTTTTTAAAATACTATAATGATTAAAATCAATTTCATTTTTTTGAACTGACATTATGTGATTAGTTGTATAAAAAATATTATTGATTGACAAAATTGAATAAACAAATTACTGAAAATATCATTCATTCAATGGTATCAAATGTTTGAATCAATTTTTAATAACTTTAAAAATTATTATATATGTATTATCCAAACTTATTTTATTATTATTAATAAAAACTTATAATCATTAAAAGCTAATATAATATAAATACTGTAATTTATTTGCCTCGATCATAAATTTATAAGGAAAGTTTAAATGATATAATATATAATACAATATTTTTAAAAATATATTTATTTGTAATCCTAATGACTTCCTTTTCCTGAGACAAGTATTTGTTTCCTTTTAAATGTTATTATAATGATTGGTTTTCCTCAACTAAATAAATAAAAGAACCAGGGACAATAACTGTAGTTACAGATAATTAAGTTAAACAGACTATTTACATTACTAGTTCAATTCTAGCCAAGTTTTAGTACAATACTAGTGCGATACTCATGAAAAACTTTGATTCCTGTTTTGAATTGATTAAAAGCAATAGTAGTTTGAATATTTCATCTAATGTCCTAAAATAGTACTCAACTGTTCAATGTTGTAATTCAATGTGTTTTGAAAAGCTCTTACTATCACTTAATTATAATCTGTTGATTAGAAGAATTTTCAAATACAATATTTACTCATTTACACAAGCTAACTACATTTATTCACAATTGTACTCAATTTTACAACAAAATTAAAGTCTGTAATGTAATGTTTTTATTTTATTTATTTTAAATAGTATCCTAAACTTAATATAGTATTTGTTATACATGTATTATATTTGTTATATAATATTAAGTTTAAGTTTAAAATATAGCATTTTATACTTTACAGTTTATAACTTAACTTTTCACTGTATTATCTGTTTATTCAATGATTGCTTTTTGAAAATATATGTTATTATATTAGAGTATTAAACTTATTCTCTAATCAAAATTTATTAGACTTAACAGTATATGAAATAAGTGAACGAATTGAGGGAATAGACAGTTATATCAATCAGACTCAGACAACAATCACATAATTAATATAAATCTACTGTATATGGTACCAATGAAAATATATTAAATTGAAATTAACAATTGTATCACATTGGCAATGGTACTACTGTATTTGAATGTCAGTGTACTGATTCTAGCCTTGAACAAATTAACATTATATAATAATTTATCTAATATACTGACAGTTTTGCATAATTTCCTAAAATGATATAATATTAGTTTTTGTATATAAAAATTAGTTGTCAATTATATGAATAAGTCTATTGTTAAACATAAATTGAATGAAATATACATTGCCATTTAGTAAATACAATATTTAAAGTGCATATTAAGTGCTTAAAATGCTATAATCCTAACACTTTTTAAAGTATTTTCTAATTAATAGTTAAAATGTATTTTTATTATGTATGTAAAAATTCCATCAATGAATTACCAGACAGTTTATTGTCAAATTAAAATTTCAAAGCAAATAATTAATTTAGAAGTGACATTTAGCCTTGATTATATTTGCTATTCAAAAAGTCTATAACAAAATTGACCTCCAAATGCATCCATGTGCAGTTATGTTTAAATCAATTGTGAATTGTAATGCATGTTCATATTTAGTCGAGTTATAAAAAAATTACAAAAATTTAAAAACTTTATAATTTAACAAAATCGTTGCTTTCGCTAAACATTATCTAAAGTTTACTCAAAATTATTGAATTCCTATTGAATACATGTATTGAATGCCTATCTCTATGTCACGCCTATTCATCTGT